TAAATCCACATACCTATGAACACCTGATTTTTTACAAAGAAGCCAAAATTATACAATGAAAAAAAGAAAGCATCTTCAACAAATGGTGCTGGCATGACTGGATGTCAACATGTAGAATGCAAATAGATTCATATCTATCACCATGTATAACACTCAAGACCTCAACATAAATCCAGTTACACTGAACCTGGTAGAAGAGAAAGTGGGAAGTAGCCTTGAACATGTTGACACAGGAGACCACTTCCTAAATATAATACCAGTAGCACAGACACAGAGATAGACAGTTAATAAATGGTACCTCCTAAAACTGAGACACTTCTATAAGTCAAAGGACACTGTCAACAAGACAAAACAACAGCCTACAAAGTGGGAAAAGATCCTCACCAATCCTACATCTGACAGAGGGCTGATCTCAAAAATATATAAAGAACTCAAGAAGTTAAATATCAAAATACCAAATAATCCAGTTAAAAATGGGATACAGATCTAAACAGAGAATTTTCAACAGAAGAGTCTCAAATAGATGAAAAACACTTAAGGAAATGCTCAACATCCTTAGTTATCAGGGAAATACAAATGAAAATGATTCTGAGGATCCATCTTACACCAGTCAGAATGGCTAAGACCTAAAACACTGATGACACCTTATGCTGGAAAGGATATGGAGTAAGAGGAACACTCCTCCATTGCTGGTGGGAGTGCAAACTTGTACAGCCACTTTAGAAATTGTTATGGTGTTTTCTTATTAAATTGGGAACCAATCTACCTCAAGATCCAGCTATACCTATTTTAGGCATATACCCAAAGGATGCACACGCAAACCACAAGGACACTTGCTCAACTATGTTCATAGCAGCATTATTCATAATAACTAGAACCTGGAAACAACCTAGATGCCCCTCAACTGAGGAATAGATAAAGAAAATGTGGTACATTTACAAAATGGAGTACTACTTAGTTGTAAAAAATGATGACCTCATGAAATTTGCAGGCAAATGGATGGAACTACAAAAAAATTATCCTGAGTGAGGTAACCCAGACCCAGAAAAACAAACAGGGTATGTTCTCACTCATAAGTGGTTATTAAGAGTAAAGTATAGGATAACCAACCTACAATCTACAGCCTCAGAGAAGCTAGATTACAAGGAGGGCTCAAAGAGGGATGCCTGGATTTCCCTGGGAAGGGGAACTAGAAAAGATTTCCTAGGTAAACTGGAGCAGAGTTGGAGGGATGGAGAGATGGGAACTAGAGGAGAGGGTTGGGCAGGCTGGATGTGGGAGGTGGGTCAGAAGCGGGATGGAGACTTCTTGATGGTGGCACATTTGGGGTTAGAGAGAAACCCCAGGAACCCATAAGAATGACCCCAACAAAAACTCCTAGCAATGGTGGAGAGGGTCCTGAACTGGCCATCTACTGTAAGCAGGTTGGTGACTTCCCTAATTGCCATCATAGATGCTCTATCCAGTAACTGATGGAAGCAAAGGCAGAGAAATGTATTTACTGAACCAGCAAAAATGGTCTGTCATGGTCTCAGTCTCTATCTATCTATCTATCTATCTATCTATCTATCTCTGTCTCTCTCTCTCTCTCATACATCGTTTTTAAGATTTATTTATTTTTATTTTATGTGTATGCATGCCTGTGTGAAGGTGCCAGATCACCTGGAACAGGAATTACAGACAGCTGTAAGCTGTCATGCGGGTATTGGGAATTGAACCCATATCCTCTGAAAGAGCATTCAGTGCTTTTAACCACTGAACTATCTCTCCAGCCCCATGGTCTCTCTTTTTATACATTTGATAATTCATTGAAGTTTTCTTTTCCCCATTTTACAACTAAGAAAGCTGAAAGAGAGGTTAAAACTAACCCACAGCTACGTAACTAGCAGGGAACAAAACCACACCCTGATTTTCATGAAGTCCAATGCCAGATCCTGGCCCCTATATCACTAAACCACCTGCATTATAAATCCTGCCACCTGAGCTGGGGAGTAGCATTGGGGGTTAGGGGAGGGGACCCAGAAAATACATGAGTCTCAGCCTATGACAGTCACTGCCCCAGAGTGACTGTGCCACACAGCCCTCTTAATCCCCAAGGAGTAACTGCCTGAGTAGGCCCACCGCAGCCACCACAGCAGCCACCACTGTGTCCCTTTTTGGAGTGTTCATCCATTTTCCAGATGTCCTTCTGCCTACAAACTGCCAACCTCCAAATACCTTAAACAGTTCTTCATGTGTGCCTGGGAAGGCCTCATATTTAAAAATGTTTGTAGGATAAAAGCCTCCCTAGGTCACCACAGTGAAGAGCGCTCGGTATGGAACACATGCACAGCAGCTTGAGGAGCACCCCAGGACCCCTGGAATCCCACAGCTTCCTCCTCCATCCACATCAGCACAGATGAGAAGCACACACCCAGAAACACATCTCCAGAATGGAGCCAGGGGTTGAGGCTAAGCTGACTTCCTAACACAAGCCCTGCCTGTTACTGATGCTCAGAGCAGTGTCTCTGAAGACTCAAGCCCTTAGAGCCAACATTACACTGCAGAGCTCCAGTGAGGTCAGGTGAGATGAGAGACCAGGTGAGGAAATGTGCAGCTAGGAACCAATCTACTTCTGCCTCTGACCTGGCTCCAATGGCCTAGAGCAGTGGTTCTCAGCCTTCCTAAAGCTGAGACCCATTAATACAGTTCCTCATGTTGTGGTGACTCCCCAACCATTAAATTATTTTCTTTACTACCTCATAACTGTAATTTTGTTATTGTTATAAATCATCATGTAAATGTCTGTGCTTTCTGATGGTCTGAGGCGACCCCTGTGAAAGGGGTTGTGACCCACAGGTTCAGAACAACTGCCCTGGAGCTGCATGTTCGGATGCAAAGGGGATAAGTTCAAGGAATGGAATGTAGACAGGTCACATTACTGTGACAAATTACAGGTGCATAAAAATCACTCACACCACAGCACTGCACCTAATTCTGGGTGCCTGGATAGGCTCTGTACATGCTTCTCCCCTGGCCTTATTCAAAGCTGTTCCAAAGAACCACAAGCGTTACAGTTTTAGACAGAAACGTCCCCCACAGTATCATGTTTTAGTACTGCGTCCCCAAGTGTGGCCATGTTTAGGAGGGTATAGAACCTTTGGAAAACCCAGCCTAGAAACAGAAGAAGGTCTTCAAGATGACACCTCCTTCAGGCACCAGGGTGAGCCCTTTGCTTCCTGTCTGCTGTGGTGATGTAAGCAGCCGCACTGCCATTTCCTGTCTGCTGAGGTGATGTAAGCAGCTGCACTGCCATTTCCTGTCTGCTGTGGTGCTACAGTGATGTAAGCAGCTGCACTGCCATTTCCTGTCTGCTGTGGTGATGTAAGCAGCCACACTGCCATTTCCTGTCTGCTGTGGTGATGTAAGCAGCCGTACTGCCATTTCCTGTCTGCTACAGTGATGTAAGCAGCCGCACTGCCATTTCCTGTCTGCTGTGGTGATGTAAGCAGCCGCACTGCCATTTCCTGTCTGCTACAGTGATGTAAGCAGCCGCACTGCCATTTCCTGTCTGCTGTGGTGATGTAAGCAGCCGCACTGCCATTTCCTGTCTGCTGTGGTGATGTAAGCAGCCGCACTGCCATTTCCTGTCTGCTGTGGTGATGTAAGCAGCCGCACTGCCATTTCCTGTCTGCTGTGGTGATGTAAGCAGCCGCACTGCCATTTCCTGTCTGCTGTGGTGATGTAAGCAGCCGCACTGCCATTTCCTGTCTGCTGTGGTGATGTAAGCAGCCGCACTGCCATTTCCTGTCTGCTGTGGTGATGTAAGCAGCCGCACTGCCATTTCCTGTCTGCTGTGGTGATGTAAGCAGCCGCACTGCCATTTCCTGTCTGCTGTGGTGATGAAAGCAGCTGCACTGCCATTTCCTGTCTGCTACAGTGATGTAAGCAGCCACACTGCCATTTCCTGTCTGCTGTGGTGATGAAAGCAGCTGCACTGCCATTTCCTGTCTGCTCTGTAGTGAAAATGGAGGAAGGAGCTGAAATGAAAAGTGACAGGTGCCAACTGTACGTGCATAGATAAAAGTGTGTCCACAGGAGAAAAACTCAGTCAAAACTGGATGTTTTCAGAGGAGTTGTGATTCTTAATTCATCACGGTTTATTTAATAAGATATAAACAACATCACAGAAAAATTAATTAGTGGCTCTTAAATAAAAATAGGCTCAATAGTATTTGTAGTTAGAGAAACACGATTGAAAAATAACCCACAAGCCTAATTTTTCCCTTGTGATACTATGGGACCCAAAACTTTGCTCCCTTAGAAGCATAGCTGGGAGCTATATTTCCTACAAGGCTATAGGGCCCGTGCAGGACCTGTGAAGGGCACAGCCTGCCCTTGCCTGCCCTTTGTTCCAGCAACTGCACTCAAGTGAGAACACAATGGCAGGCACTCAAGTTACACACTGGGGAGTATCACAAAAGACTGAAAACTTCCTTAACATTCAGCTACTGACAGACTGGTTAAACCAATCCTGGTGCAGTAGGACCAGAACATGTAACCCTGGTTACATGCACGCAGCACCCTGCCAGGGTGCAGAGTGGTATACAGTAGAGGGAAGGAACATGAATGCACGCACACATCTGCCTTGGGCACACAGAGCATCTCTGCAACTGTTTATAGTCAAGCCAACAGGGAGCAAACATAGCTGCGGACAAAGGAGAATGCTCATCAGTTAACCTGATTTTGAAACATATACATATGTGTAGTTCATTCAAAGAAGCACATCAAATGAAAATGCATAAATGTAATTTCCTTTGGCACTCCGTTTTCATTTAACTAAAAATATGAGTGAAGTATGGAGGCACATGCGTGCAATCCCTGCACTTAGAGGCTAAGGCAGGAGGACTCCAACTTTGAGGCCTATCTGGGCTGCATACAGAGCAAGACCATTTCTCAAAAACAAACAATGTAGAACTGTAGCTGCACATGCTTGCCTCTCCGTCCCTTGCCCCGTCTACCTTGCCAGCGCCTGAACCTTTGTGGTATGGCGCTCCTGCTGCTCTGCTACCCTCCTCTTCAGGGCATCCACCTCTTGCCGGAGTGCAGCCGAGTGCTCCATCTCGCCATCAAGGAGACTCCGCAGTGACCTGGAAGAGAGGGCCCCACAGTTCAGAGGCTCTTCACCCAGCCCACCCAGAGGACAGTGCAGCTCTTCATCGCTGCCCACAGGCTCACACAGACCACAACGCAGCTCCAACTCACGTAAACGGACGCTGGCAGACAGCAAGTCTGAGCCTGGTAACTGCACTGCGTCCCAGGGCAGTCACCTGTGGTCAGATTCGGGGACTCTGCTCCTGTGACAGCTTAGTTCAAGGGGAAACCAGGAGCTCAGCAGATGCCAGGGAGGCGCTTTAAAGACACCCCATTCGGAGTGCAGCGTGTTAAACGGAAGCTCTGACCCAATGGGAACAGATCTCACAAAGGGAAGGGTATCAAAACAGGCCAAATGAATATTCTGCAGCAAAAAGACACAGAACACTTGCTCAGATTCCATGATATTTCATCCTGTTTCCACTGCTGCCCATAGAATAGACCAGGACTCGCAGTCCACAGCCGCCTCCATGATAAGCTGGAATGCATGGCATTCTATTGAGTATATATATTAGACACAGCACACGCTAAGCCAGCTTGTATGGTATTCTAAGGAGTGCATATTAGTACAGCATTATCTTATATTCCTATACTTTTTAGCTTTTATGGTATGCCCATTCACATATACATTTCTTTTTTTTAAACATTTTTTTAAAGATTTATTTATTTATTATATATACAGTATTCTGGCATGGAGGGTACCAGATCTCATTACAGGTGGTTGTGAGCCACCATGTGGTTGCTGGGAATTGAACTCAGGACCTCTGGAAGAACAGCCTGTGCTCCTAACCTCTGAGCCATCTCTCCAGCCCACATATACATTTCTTTTTTTTTTAATTTTTTTCACATATGCATTTCTTATCCACAGAAAATGACCAGGAGTAGCAGTTCTAGGAAGGGTCACAGGTTACCACACTGAGGTAAATCAAATATGCACCTAAATGACTGTTTCTAGAAAAGCAACTGTGATGTATTTACCACATCCAAAGGATGCCTGTCATGAACATCAGGATGTATCAAATATACCAAGCCCCCACAGTACCCCACCACTGAGCTCTCTAAGACCTGCCATGTTCACTGGGAGCTTGGAGAAGATTCCCCTCCTGGAACATCCTGGTGCATCCTGTCTATGAAGAAGCAGTCAATATATGGTAGCTGTCATTCTTCACAAGGGGAGACAAAACCCATGGCTGCTTCCAAGAGCATCACTCCAGCTAGAGCAAGAACCAACCTTGAAGGGGCCCACAGTAGCTGAAAGTGCGCAGCTGTTTTAGAAATCAAACTTATTCGCCTTTGTACGGCTCTACAAAGGATGACGGGCAGCTGGTCAGTTAGATCCAAAATAAGGTCTAAGAGAAAACTGTGACTGCTCTCACCAGTAAAGGACAGGAGGTGACCTGTGCACCACCTCCCTGAGTCAGGCAGCCTCCCCATGTCCACTGGCTTTTGTGAATAACCTCAGGCAAGCCTGTCACTGGCTACCCCAGCCTCAACACAGACTCTGGTAAGAGAATGTCAACTTCAGACACTCACATGGTGGCAATTAGTGGTATCTAGACTGGATCTCAATAAAGAAGAAGAAAAAGCTTAAGAAAGCACTTGGCCTCTTGGAGATGACCACTGGGTTTTGGCCAAATTAGAGGAATCCAGATGTCATCTTGTTCCAGAAATCCCCAATTTGAGTGGAACACAGAAAATATACCCTCAGTTAAAGGTCACTTCGAGAGTATTCTTTGCGCAGGGAGCTGGACAGAAGTGGTGTGGCATTCCTTCCTGAAGTGATAAAACTATTCTAAAATTGGCCATGGCAATAGCTGCATATATCTGAGAGTATACACAAACCACTGCATTGTGGGTATGTGAATGACATCAGTGAAAGCTGTCATTAAAGGATGCTCCTCCACATTCCTGTGTTGGAAGGTGCCAGCATTGCTGCTTCGATCCCTTGCTTATATGCAAGCCACAGCAGATCTACTGAAGTGGTCTAGTCCAGAGAAGTAAGAAATCTGCTAGGACCCAGCACCCAAGTCAGACAACCTGAAACTGCCTGCAACTCCTGCTCCAAGGCATCCAGTCCCCTCTTCTGGCTTGCATTGCACATCCACATGTGCGCGCAAACACACATGCGCACAAACACACACACACACACACACGCACACACACACACACGTACGTACGCAAGAACTTAAAGTAATAATAATAGTAAGGTAAGGAGCTTGGCAGTAAAGCACCATTCTCTCCATTCATTCTCTCTGCCGCTAGGGACAGAAAGTCAGAGAAAGAGGCAGCCATGATGTCACAGTACCCGTTCTCTTCTTCCAGTTCATCTTTTCTGTTCATCATGGCCACGATGGCTTGGCGTAGTTCATCTGAGGGAAAAAAGCAAAGGCGACGCTATGAGCAGACAATCCTGTCAGCCATCCGTCCCCATCCCCTCTGCAGTACACAAGCAGAAGCTCCCATAGGTCATCTGTCCCCAGCCGCTCTACAGTACATGCCGTTACAGACGGCTTGTCTAGGTAAGCTCCCTGCTCCCTAGAAAGGATTCTTTTACAGCCTCAGACACACAGTGTGTTCACTGTCACTCTCATCCACACAGACGGAAGGGAAAGGTGAGGAGAGCTAATGTGTGTTGGGAAGAAGGATAGGTTCCTGGGAAAACACACTCAGCTTGCAATTTCTGAGTGCTTTCCCAAGTCTTTGTGCCTGGAGAATGTCTGTGGTGAACACTGAATTGTTCCTCTTATAGTTGTTTATCAGCCCAGACAGCAGATCAGGTAGTACTCGGCTCCATGCTTGCATAAACATCTGGCTCTCCCACACTGCCTTCTGAGGGCAGCAGACAGCCGACAGAGGACTACATTCAATGCACAGTGTACACTGCACAATTACTCGGGAGAGCCACCCCTCCAGCCTCTTTCACACAGGAAAGCATTCGAGGACAGGGAATGACAATATGCATCCACACTTCCTAGCTCCATCAAGCTTGGCATGGCCAGATCTTAGCTGCATCTCAAGATCCAGAGATCACAGAGTTATTTTATCTGTTTCCTTCACTTGATTTCACCTTATGGTGGCCACTAGGAAGTGCAGGGCCCAAATCACACACCTAGTAGTAGGTTGTAACTATGTCCAAGAGTCTACACTATGTCCAGAACCACCTACATGGATCCAAGTGGTGAGGTCACAACAGGGGTGCCCAAAGGTTCAATAGCCAGCTTTGTGTTTTAAGACCAGAAGCATTGATGATCTTAGCAAATTTCCTCAATTTTAAAATCTTTCATAATACAAAAAAATAATTAGGAAATACCTTTCCATAAAATTTATTAAGAAGAACTAGAGATTCTTATAAGGAATGACCCTCTAGGAAGAGGGTGAAGCTAGAAACAAGAAGGTTGTCAATCTGTGGTACAGGAGCCCTGAGAGACGGAAAAGAGACGTTAGGAGAAGGCCTAGGGCAGAAAACAGGCAGAACTGGGCCACTGAACACCTAGCCATGCTCTGCCTGCAAACAAAATGACCCAGAGCTCATACATTCAACTACTCATTCATCTACCAAGAACAGACGAAGTTCAAATACCTTCCCAAGGAAAGAGGCAGGCTCCCACCTGGTCCAAGGGAGGATCCTAATGAAGAGTAACAACGGCCATCACAAGCCCACATGAAGCCAACTCAGTGGGATGTCCCTGATCGCTAAGGTCCCTGCTCAGAGCCGCACACCAGAGTCTCAGCCTCTCTCCATGCCCTTCCTCCAGAAATGAGGGAGCAGCATCCTTCTCACCCCCCTGGAAGCCAGGAGGATCAGAGGAGACTGAGAAAGAGTGTCTTTGAGGGTACTTCTCACAGGCTATAGCAGGAAGTCCAGAAGGACCTGCTGCTAGGATGCAGAACTTTATTCTAATTGATAATCTTTAGAGGAAAAGCAAAGCAAGTGATTTATCCCCAGGTCACTGTGGCTATGAAGGAAAATAAAACCAACCAAATTAATTGTTCTACCAGCAGCTGGGAGAATGAAGCACTCTAGGCTCAGTCTTCAGGCAAGCCAGGCCAGTGCTGTGAGCACAGCGGACACAGGCTTCATTATTTCTCCACTCCAGGATCTGCATGGATTCTGAATTTTCCTCTAGGCTTTCTTCCTCACTAGAGTTCTTAGCTGGCCTGATGAGCAAAGGAACGAATGCTCACAGTCGCCATCCAGGGCTGGAAGGCACAAAATCTCCTAAAGCAAGATCCTGAGTGTTTGCCAGTAGTCTGTCTGCCCTTCTCCAGCTCTGCAGTAACACATCTGGTTTACACTCATGAACTGCACTGCTGTACCCAAGCTGGGACCAGGGTGCAGCAGATGACAGCAAGGACACCTCCACCACCACTGTACTCAGGAACGAGTGGCCTGGACTAGGCAGGGCAGGTGTTGTCACACTGGCAAGCCCTCAGTCTCTCCATTCTGCTCCACCCCTCCCCTCCCAGAGGGTACAGCTCATCCACATGAGCACGCCCCTTGGGCATCTGTGTACAACCACCAACCGAGGGGTCTCCAGATAACCCTGACTGTACCACTGTTACCCAACCAGTGGTCAGACTTCCCTCTAAGATGGAAGTTATTATACATATGTTATCTCACAGAGTTCCTGGTCAGAATCTATCTCTCTTCATATGAAATCCCCCGCTGGCCCAGGTAGTAATGAGCCTCTTTTGAAAAGCTTCCCTGAGACTCCTTGCCCTGCAGCAGCTACAGGCAGGAGATGTGAGTCGCCTTGCTCTTCCCTTGTGCACACAGATGCTGACAGAAGACAGACCATGCTGCACACCTCAGTGCCTGGGATCCCTTCTTACTGCATGTTTAACCAACGTGTTTGAATTTGATCCAGAAAAATGAGTGGACCCAACCTTCCACACTTCTAAAACCAACAGCAAAGCTCCGAAAGGCAACTGTCACATGCTTTCTCTTCTATGTGGAATCTAGATTTGAGTGTGTGTGTGTGTGTGCATCTGTGTCTGTGTATTATGTTTCTATATGTGTGTGCCTGTATGTCTGTGTCTGTTTCTATGTGTCTATGTGTGTGTCTGTGTGTCTGTTTTTGTGCATGTGTGCCTGTGTTTCTCCTGTGTGTGTATACCTGTGTGTCTGTGTTGTGTCTGTATATGTGTGTTTCTATATGTGTGTGGCTGTGTGGCTGTCTCTGTATATGGCTGTATGTCTGTGTCTCTGTGTGTGTCTGTGTCTATGTATCTGTGTATGTGTCTGTATATGTATGTGTGTGCCTGTGTGTCTGTGTGTATATTGTGTGTTTCTGTATGTGTGTGCCTGTGTGTCTGTTTCTGTGTGTGTGTGCCTGTCTGTGTGTGTGTCTGTATATGTGTCTGTGTCTGGGTGTGTGTGTGATGGAAAAAGGCAGACGAGGAGAGGGAAGGAAAAGAGAAGCTGTGGTAAGAAGGTAATACAGTACATGTGTGTGGCTAGAAAGCAGGAGGGGCTGTTTAAGTCGAGGAAGGAAACCAGCAAAGGGAGATGGGGAGGAAATAAAGGGGGAAAGTATAATGACATGTAATTATGAAAATAGCACAATGAAACTCATTACGTTACATGCTAACTCTAAATGAATAAATAACACACACATGCAGAAAACCAATGGCAATAATAGCACTTTCTGTGAAGTTACACACCTCTGCCCAGCAAGCCTTGTTTCTAGTCTCACAGCCTCCTGTCTAGGACAGTCAGTAGCACAGAGCAGGAAACAGATTGTGGCAGTCCCTTCAGAATTCCCAGGACCTCAGAGCTCTATCACCCACAATGGTGGAGACTGTCCTGGTGAGCAGATGTAAAGGGCAAGAGGAAGTTCAGGTGTGAATCCTAGGAGCCTCCATTCCAGGGACAGAAAATCCATGGCAAGCTGCTACCAATAGGCTCTGGGGCCAGCAGTCCTACTCAGCCACGTGCCATAGGCAACCTTGACAGGTTTCTGCCTTTGCAAACTATAAGCTGGAATTGTGCCTCGTTTCCCCAGGGACGGCTGGTAGCAAGCACAGGGCAGACATTCAGTTTCAGCACTTACAGGATGCAGGCTCTGCAGTCAGGTGCCGGCCTCCAGTCCCAGCTTCTCACCTGAAGATGCTGTTTATTGACCTTATCTGAGAACCGTAAGGGTAAAATGGGATCTTAACAGTCTTTCTTCAAGCATGGCAACACACACCAGTAATCCCAGCATTTGGGTGTTAACGAAGCAGGATCAAAAAGTTCAAGGTCATCCTTGGCTACTTAGGGAATTTGAGGCCAGCCTAGGGTACATGAGACCCTGTCTCAACGATGGGACAAACCCAGTCACTACATCACAGAAGTGCTGCAAGGATTAAAGAGGTAATATGCAAATGAGGTGTCTAGAACACAGTGGCATTTAACAGGTATTCTTGATAGGTCTCACTATCCCTTTCCCTTCAACTGCAGAGGACAGAAAGGTGGAAACACAGTGTCAGACATTGCTCACAAGTGTGGGTCATTTACGAAGGCCCACTTGCAAGAGACGTGGAATATACTAAGCTCCTGTGCACCTCAACCTTGGACACTAAAAAGAAACCCTTGAAAATGTTCCCTGCTGTACAGCAGCAGGCCAGATAAGGAATCTCCTGAAGACCAAACACCATTCAACAGGGCAATGTGGGTAAACCAGGCCAGCCACCAATGCACCTACCACCTAGAAGAGACTGGTTGAGTATCTGGATTCTGGCTTCTTAGAGCCAGGAAGGAGGAGTCTGGATACTGACATTACAATTTGCAGCTGAACATTACATTCTATGGTGAGTCTTGAAGAACTGCTTCGCAGAACCACATAGACCACTCAACCATCGGCAGCAGCCTCCAGTAGCCACAGGAGAGCCTGGCCAGCAGACCCCAGGATCACTGTGCTGCCTGTGAACAGCGGCAGGACAGCTCGTATGATGTGACCCAGTCCTGTCATCCTGGCGTGACCGTGACTGCCCCACACAGCGTTCCCAGCCTCCTGGAGGGGCCCTGGATTTGCACAAACATCAAAACAATGCATGACACAGTTTATAAAAGAGATGGGGACCTTTTCGGTGCCCCTCTTGCCTTTCACGGACTTCTACAGAGAACAGTGGTAACAGTGGGGACAGACATGGCGACTCTAATAGAAACTCATTCCTGCTGCCTGCTGGCTGCTGGCTGTCTTGTGCCTTCCTGGGCAGCAGGGAGGGAACATGGTTTCCATGTATCATGTGACTCACCATCCACCAATCTCACTTGCTGTGCATGAGCAGAGGTTTTCTCTCTAGCACAATGCAGCTCTTATCTGTGAGTCTCATTACTGTGATTCCTCCTCTTTACTGAGACACAATCTCCAGGAAACAAAGCAGA